TTCTTAAAATTTACGGAACATTTTTTTTTTAAATATAAGAATGAATAATTTCATAATTCATAACAATAATTTCAAAAGAATGAATCACTAAATTTCTTAATGCTTTTCTTAATTTCAACTAAAATAAAGCCTTCTAGAAATATCCTTTAAACTGAGCAGTGTTTAAACTCTTGTTTCAAACACTCTTTAAAAGCCTTTCTAAAACTAGCAAATTCAATATGGCCATCTAATCTGACTTTAAAACGGATTTCGTGAGAAATCTTTAATTCAAGTACATCTTAAAGTCCTTTTAAAATCAATCATTTAAATCGTCATATTTAAAATTCGTTTATTTATTGCATGCACTGTTGCAACGTTCTAAAACTTAAAAACTCAATACTAGGGTTGTTAGCTACAACCTCGGTTCTCTTAACATACATATGTACATATACTTTTTAAACATGCGTGCTTGAAATCTTTGAATCATATGTACATATACATGATTTTACTTTAACTTACTACGGAAGATTTAAGTGTGAGCGGCATCCATTCTCATCTCCACCATTCGTCCGCCGCTTGCCATTGCCCTCCAAGAATTGCTGACAGGTTTCTTACATACAGCATGAATATATCTGATTGAGCTTTCACTCAGCAAGTAGGAATTATCTCTCGCAAAATAACTGTAACTACACATGAATATATATGCATGAGCTGATTATGCTTAGTTATGATGTCTTATCATAGTCTTGTTATCTTATCTTATCTTATCTTTCTTACTGATGGGTCCGAGTGCTCGTACCACTTGCGCGCAATCATCAAGACGTAAGGGTTTTCAAGGTCCTCGACGACACCGTGATTTAAATTGAACTAAGTGCCTCCCTTGTGGAGGACCCCTTTTTTTGTTGAGACTGCACAACTAACCCTTTCTTGGCCTTGTGCCTCAAGGGATTGATGGTTGTCATAGAGTTACCTCCCTTTCAGAGGCTGGTACGGTACTCAGCTTAGATTATTCTTATAAGTTCTTTTTGACTTATTAAGGTGTATGCAATATGACATAGCATAGCGTACTATAACATGAAATGTATGCAAACACATATAATTCATGTGCACTGCTTAAGTGTATGCAGCATGACATAACATCGCATATAATACTTAAAGCATAAACATGCATATATAACATGTGTAACTTTTTTTTTAAAATCTATTCATACTGTAGGCGAGATTCCTACTTACCTGATTTACAGAGCTGGAATTCACTTTTTGCTAAACAACCTATTCTCTTACTCGCTTACTTCTAAAAATAAACACCCATTAAGAGTTTGAGATTAACTGTCGTTTGCTATTCTATTTTAGCAACTTATGAAGCAAATCTAGCCCTTTACTTAATGCATGTATTCCTTTCCTTTACTGAAGGATAATTTATTATGAGGATCAATTTATTAAATCCTCAAAATCTTATTTTCCTTAATTGCCCTTAACATACTTATGTCTAGGTTAAAAATTAATTACCCAATCTAGTAACTTATTCTCCATAATTTACCTCTTGGGACTTATTATGCTATTAAGGCCCAATTCGGCCTATAACTTATTCACGGCATTGTAACTTTTAGGCCGTTAAAATTTAAACTCAAATGGGGTCTCTTGAATGAATGCGAGCGTTGGACCCACATCCAATCTTCAAAATTCTAAGGACCTATCGTATTAGGCTCGTTGGCGCCCGTCGGGATGATTTACTCGATAAACCATTAAATTCTTTAAAAGAAAGCATTTTTTTTGAAAACTTTCTTTACAAATACTTTTGTTAAAATGAGATTTAATACCATAGTGTTTTACTTAAATCACATCTAGAGTTTTTTGATAACCTTTTGTTAAAAACCAACATTGTGTTAGTTTTGTTTAGTTAAAATTGTACAGTTTCTAAAGTGTACATTTTACTAGATCTTAGAGTCTGATTTTAAAAATCTGTTCTTCACGAAAATTCTTCGTCTCATCGAGATCTAAAATTGTCACTTTTAGAGGAAACTGAAATTTAGCCTCTAAAGGTCTCGTTTGGCTGAAAACAGTGGCTGCTGTTTTTGTTGTTTACCTAGAATACTGCAGCATTTTAAAAATGCTGTAGGAATGCTGTAGCATTCTTTTTTTAAAATGCTGTAGGAATGCTATAGCAATGCTGTAGTAAATTTTTTTTTTTTTTAAACTATGTTAGATAGCCTGTCCGTTTTTTGTAAAATGGCTTCAAACTTGCTTTTAGAGTTAAAGTTGGGTTTTCTCATAGTCATAGAAAACGTTCAAAACATCGAGAACTATAAGTTCAAGTTTAGAAACATTGAGAAATCTCGCTCTAGGGTCCTTATTTTTGCATTCAAAGTAACCGGAAAATTTCACCTCTAACCCCAAAATAAGCAAACTTTAACCAACAATAAATATACCACATAATGCTAATCAAACTAATCTCAAAACTCACAAAATCAACTTAAAACTCACACGCCCTTATTACAACTTATTTCTTTGAGAATCATAATTTACATAAATGGATTCTCAAACTTAACCTTTGCTAGAAAGGAAAATAGAGAGAAAGGTTTTAGAGTCCATACCCTTAAGGAAAGAAAATCCTTGGTTAAACTCCTCCTAGAACACTTTGATCCTCCTTCTCCTTCTTAATCTTAAGCTAGTATTTGTATTTAAGAGAGTGGAAGAAAAATTAAAGAGAGAGCATAAGAGGGAGAGTTAGGGCCGGTTTTGGGGTGGAGAGAAAATGAGAAAAGAGAAAATGAGACCTATCCTATGATGGTTCCTTTTATAGACAAGTTTGTGGTCATTTATTTAACCCCAATTCCACTCTATTAGTCAACCAAATTTTTTGTTCAAATCCCCCATTTTTGGCCGGTTCTAGGTGGAGAAGAGATGGACCAATCGTGCCATGATTTCCCTTTCACCCACTACCATCACATCCTCCTTAACATGAAACCTCCTAGCACACTCAACTAGTCAAGGTTTGGCTCCAATTTCATTGTGCATGGCCGGATTTTAAATGGAGAAAAGGAGGAGCAAGTATGCCATAATTTTCCCTTCAACCACTACCATCAAATCATATGTGTTATGATTTCCCTTCACTAACTCCCATCAAATCACATGTGTCATGATTTATCTTCACTTACCCCCATCAAATCACATATGTCATCCTACCAAATCCTAACCTACCCCTTGTACTTTTGTCTACTCTCTTAAGTTTCATTTGAAACTGTTAAAAATTATACTGACTGTAAGGAAATACTTAGCCGATAGGAAATTCTAGTTTCTGACGGTTCCTTTTCTACTGCTTATTTACAGTCCAATATTACTCCCTGACTACTTCGATATTACATTAAATTCTTTCTCGTGTAATATTTTGAACTGTTTCAAGTCTTGAAATTAATTCTAGACTGAACAAATTCTAAATTTAGATTTCTGCATTATATCCCGAGAATGACATTGTTTCTGATGGTGTCAACTCCCGAGCTCACATTGTACCCTTCAACTATAGGTATTTATCTTGTGACTTTAACCTAGTTGTCTAGCAATTAAGGATTTTCTCTTCTTTTAAAATGTCAGAGCATTTTTTTTATACACTGCTAACATCATGCTGTGCTTGGAGATTCTTGGAATTAAGATTCTCAAACTACATGTGTACTGAAAATTCTTCTGCCTTAAAGTACGGCGAGAATTTATTGATCGAATTTACTTGATCATAAAACATGAACTTAGTATGAAATCTACTACAGAATTTAGGAATACAGATGTTAATTCCAAAAATCTTTCAGTTAGAAAATATAACATAGTATTTTTTAGGAAAATCCTTGGCTTAAATACATAAATTGTATTATTTTAAGTCTGGGATTTTCTCAGTCATTTCACGACTCAATATAGATTTCACTACTAGAAACTATATCAATGTCTCTACTGATGGAGTCCTACCTCCGACGACTAAGACAAGCCGTCTCCGTTAGGAAGTAGACAAGCCGTCTTCGTTAGGAAGTAGACAACATAACAATCTTAACATGAATAAAGCGCCCAGCTTTATTCCCTCAATTATGGATCATATGATTTAGACTATCATCTTTAGATTCCTGTCTTCCGCATGTTCTTCTCATTACATGCGCGACCTAAAGATTTAGAATGACAGTCTCAGACTGTCAGTTTGCTTATCATACATTTAACTAATATGAACATAAAGAGGACAATACATGGATATATGAAATAAATCAATCTTTATTAATAGTCAAAATGTCTCAAAGAACATTGTTACATTTATTCTTAAAGGCATAAATGCTAACACTGCCAACCTCCGGAAACGACACCACCCTGCCAAAAGAAGCCCCCCACTGCCAAGATCGAACATTCGCAAGGACCCAACCACCTAACGTTGACGGTGCCGAAAAATGCCTCTCAAACATCCAGTTTTCAACTTCCAAACGAAGCTCGATCCATCCTAACTAAGTCACCCACGACACACCGCCACCACCATTAAAGAGCCCTCGACAAGACGAGCTTAGAGACTGATTTTCATGACCAGAAATCTAGCGACGCATCTAAAAACGGTGCCGGAACTCCGACCAACACTCAAGCTTCTTTTCTCTTGATCCTCTCTTCAAAAGACAGCTAGAGTTTTTCCCTTATAGAGAAACATCTTGTTATCATATTAAAACTTATATTTTGATACATTTATATGAGACTTTCTCTGGCGTTTTCTCTTTTTTGAGAATATCAGTGTGCTATATTTATCAGCCGTCGAATCTGTATTAAATCTGATCAAAAGTCAAATTAAATTAAAAAAATAATATAAATTAAACGGCTGCTAATAAAAAAATACTGGTGTTTTCACAAGTACAAAAAATACCAGAGTAATTCTCCATTTATTTTTGTAAAATCATATCAACGTGAACAAACTAAATACACACGTGCGCAAGTGCTTTAATTTAAACTAGTGCTGTAAAAAACCATCTAACACCAAACACGAGTGACGCGACACCAAAACACCAAATGAGGTCATTTCCAGGATCACTCTCAAATCCAGGACCATAACCACTGTCTTCCTCCTTCAAGCTCTGGATCCTCTTGCTCGAAGCCTTTTCCTTCTTCTTTCCTCTTTTCAACTGGTATTACACTTTAAAGCTCATTCCTTTTTCATATAAACGCAATATTCTAAAGTTGGGCATTTTTTCATTCATTTTCATATATTTCTTTCTTCTTTCCAAATGGAATTACACTTAAAAAGGACCTTTGTTTTTGTTTTGTTTTCTCCCCATAATATATGGTTATCTATATAACCCATTTGAAAGATTCAAAAAGTTGAACCTTTATTCGTTTATTTATTTGTTTTATCGTTTTTCTGCTTTCATCGCCCTACATTTCTTTTGTTAATTAACGGAACATTCTTTTCTCTGTTTATGGTTGTTATCATGTATATGTGAGTTTTAGAATTTTTTATTTCGAGAAATAATGTCCTTCATATGCTCTGGCTCTCTACTAAATTAGCTTTTGCTTATTACTGGCTTCGGGTCTCGATTGATGACCACCTTTTTATTTTTGTATTTTTTTTTTAGTTTCTTTGGTAGATTGGAATAAGATGAATTTACTTTTGGTTTTGCTTTTATGAAAAATTTAAAACCTTGTTACAGCAAAATCATGATTTACACTCACAAAACTATGATGGAAGCAGAAGATAAGAGAGTTCAAGTACTATGCCACAATGGTACACAAATTGGTCCCTTGTGAAATATTATACAGAAAATTGAGTATATAACATTTCTTTTTCTGCCAAGATGAAGAAGTGGTCAGGAGGTATGATGATTGTGGCTCTAGCTGCGATCTTGGTTTTCAGTTACAGCTTCATTGGAACTGCAACTAAGCCACAGAACAAGAAACACAATTCAGCTTATGATTTCTTTAACAACCACCCATCACCGAATATTTCCGATATCAAACCGAAAAATCCAACAGAACTCCCCAACAAGCCCCACCTTCTCAATGTGGAAGGGCTCAACCAGCTTTACATTTCACGGGACATTTCAGAAGGTGATTCAAAGCCGTTGCTCGTGTGGGATCACTTGCGTGCCCTACTGTCAAGGTCCGATGCTTTGCCTGAGACCGCTCAAGGTGTTAAGGAAGCCTCTGTGGCATGGAAAGATTTGGTCTCCAAGTTTAGTAACAATGACAAGAAGTCGGAAGATGAGAAGAACTGTCCTTTCTCTGTGGATAGACTTGAGGCTGCTGCACTAGGTGATGGAATGATGGTTCTTGAGCTCCCATGTGGACTTGTTGAGGATTCTTCCATTTCAATAGTTGGCATCCCTGATGGGCCCCACAGGAGCTTCCAAATTCAGCTTCTAGGTTCTCAGCTTTCAGAGGAGCCCAAGGCCTCAGTTGTCTTAAATTACAATGTTAGCCTGCCAGGTGATAACATGACAGAGGAGCCATTTGTGGTCCAGAATACATGGATTGAGGAACTTGGGTGGGGCAAAGAAGAAAGATGCCCGGCTCACCGGTCTTCTAACAGCCTGAAAGGTATATTCATAGCTTATTTCTGTCTATCCAATACTATTTTTTTGTTGAGGCAATGTGGTGGTGAAACCAACTTTTTGTGGCGAGTTGACAATGTTTTGTGAACTTGATAGTTCCAATACTTGAACAATTATATGAAAGTTCACTGTGAAATTTAGTTTACTGATCACACTGATGATGTGAGTTAATAAAATGAATATGCCACCAATAGTGCATCTGTTCTACACTAAATGGAAGTCTAAAGTTGGATGACACTTGGTAGTTACTCTTATATATCTTATTGCTTTATTTTTATGTTATTTTGTTCTTGTTTGTTCTTCTTTTTACTCACAATTCAAAGAGAGGTTGTTGAAATGGTAAACCTGACATAGTGCGGTAAATTTGACAGTTGATGGACTTGTTCTTTGCAATAAACAAGTTTTTAGAAGCTCTCCAGATGAAAATCTAAGTGTAAGCCATCCTAGTGGTGACATGTCGACCAATGTTTCCCGCATAAGTGACCGTGAAACTGCTAGTTTCCCATTTGTTGAAGGGATTCCTTTCACTGCCACATTATTGGCTGGTGTGGAGGGATTCCACATGACTGTGAATGGAAGGCACGAGACGTCTTTCGCATATAGGGAGGTAAGGTACGGATATTCTGATAATCCTACGCTTTTATGAGAAGAAATACTTGGTTAATCATATGCTATTATGAGAAGTTGATTATCTATTTTGATAATCTGATGTTGGTTGTTATTTAACTTAATTTCATAGCTTTTTTTTTTTTTTTTTTTTTTTTTTTTTTTTTTTTTTTTTTTTTTCTATTATCTTCTTTTTTTTTCCCCTCCCTCCCTACAAAGCAGAAACTAGGACCATGGTTAGTTAGCAAAGTCAAAGTGGACGGCAGTTTGAATGTCTTATCTGCATTGGCGAAAGGCTTGCCTGTTTCTGAAGATCGCGATCTAGTTATTGACGTCGAGCATCTTAAAGCTCCGCCTATCCCAAGGAAACGACTAGTAATGTTGGTTGGGGTTTTTTCTACTGGAAATAACTTTGAGCGTCGGATGGCCCTGAGGCGGTCTTGGATGCAATATGAGGCTGTACGTTCTGGGGATGTAGCTGTCCGATTCTTAATTGGACTTGTAAGTGATCAAATATATTAGTACTTGTTCAATGAAAAAGAATGCTTGGTGACATATTAAGATCATAGTTTTATTATTTTTATTAAAGATATTTGTACTTGGTCATAGGCATTAGACGTTGTTCGGTAACATCTTCCTTACTCGAGAATTTTGCGTCTGCAGCACAAGAACAAGCAAGTGAATTATGAGTTGTGGAGAGAAGCTCATGCTTATGGAGATATCCAATTGATGCCGTTTGTTGATTATTACAGCCTGATCAGTTTGAAAACAATTGCAATTTGCATTATGGGGGTATGTTGATGCAAATATGTAGATAGAATTTTTATATGAAGTCAATTTTTCCTTGTCTAGATTTTCCCAGGCACATTCTACTCCGAAAATCTTCGTTCTTATGCTTTGAACTGCAATTCCCAGATCTAATGTATAAGCACTAGAAATATATAACACCTTGCCTTTTGTCATGTTATGTACTTTTTTTTCTGGTATTCTATTTCCCATTGAAAGTCTATATCATGGCTTATTGGATTTAACTTGAATGGACTTAAATCCATGATTCCATGACTATACTTAGTAAAGACATTTTAAATGTTTTTGCTTTCTTCTTGTAGTAGTCATTTCTTTTTTAATGAAAATACGCAGACGAAAGTCCTGCCTGCTAAATTTATCATGAAAACGGACGACGATGCTTTTGTTAGGATTGATGAAGTTCTGTCCAGCCTTAAGACGAAGCCGTCAAACGGTCTCTTGTATGGTCTTATATCGTTCGAATCATCACCCCACAGGGAGAAAGACAGTAAATGGTTCATCAGTGATGAGGTAACCACACCATACTACTTCATCTTATTGGATGACACTTCATTTTCTTGTACTTTGAGTTTGAGTTTGAGGAGTCTTATCTTGTGCAGGAATGGCCCCATCCTTCATACCCGCCATGGGCACATGGTCCGGGGTATGTCATCTCTAGAGACATCGCCAAGTTCATCGTTCAAGGGCATCACAAAAGAGACCTCAAGGTAAATGGTTTTTGGTCAGAGTTAAGATTTCTTCTTTCTCTCTCAATTGTCTCTCTTGCATTAGGGGGAACATAAATCTAAATATGAAAGAAAAGTAAAAAATGGGGATTACTTCTTTGTGAGGACTTAGTCAACTGACCCCACATTCTACCTGGTAAAATATGCATCTAAGGAGTGGGTAACCATCTGAAAAAGGTTGGATGTATTAGTGGATAGGATAGAACTAATAGTACCGAGACTTGCCATTTCCATAGATTTCTCACTAGTTAATTCCACATACTCAGAGTAAATTGCATAGGTAACTTTTACAATATTTGACTAACCATTGATATAAGGTTTTTTAACGACTATGTCCCTAGACTTCTCGTGGTTTTTTACTTTAGACTCTGAATTTTTTTCTTCTTCTACAATGTAGTCCTTAAATTTACATAATAATAGCAATTAACTCCAACCCTTGGGAGAGTTGTAGCCTCTCGAATGTTGCTATCTTTGTATCCGAATTACTACTTTCCTCCATTCAGGCAATAAAACCATCGTCTATTTGTGTGATTTCTACTGCACTTCTCCAAGAAGTAGCTAGGTTCGTAATAGAGACTGCATTCTCATTATATTATGGTTCCCAGCTTTTTAAGCTTGAAGATGTTGCAATGGGGATATGGATTGAACAATTCAAGAACAGTGGTCAAGAAGTGCATTACATCACTGATGAGAGGTTCTACAATGCTGGGTGTGAATCAAACTACATTCTTGCCCATTACCAAAGCCCCAGACTGGTGTTGTGCCTTTGGGAGAAGCTTCAGAAAGAGCAAAAGCCCAACTGCTGCGAGTAAAGGGAAGTTTCGGATCAACTCGAGTCCCCAACATGAAGACCAGTTCCAAAGATATAGATCATAAGATCGAATGATATGATGTGAAACCGTGGTGGATGTTACAATTCAATTCATATTCCTTTTTGGGGTTCCTTAGAAACCTCTTATGGGGGACTGTACAATGTTCTCTAACATGACTATGTTGGAGTGTTACACAAAACTGGACTTGTTCTTGTTCATTATTTTCTTTATAATATATATATATATATATATATATTTATATATTGGATTCAAAGTAATCCAGTTATTTTTCTTTCTGCATTCGTGACAATTGTGGAGTTTTTGTTTATGAATCTGTCCGTGAAGAAATAGGTTGTTGACCATTGTCTTGAACGCGAACGATGATGTGAAAACATGAAATCCTAGAAGAAAGGTAAATATGTTAATCATTACCTTAAAGCCCGTTTGGTTTAGAAAATTCTAGTTAATAAAGTGGTCCATTGGTAAAATTATCCTTTTCATTATCCTTTATGTAAATATGGTGGAAAGAAGTCAAAATTTGGCATTCTCTAACAAAAACAAAATCCACCCCAAGTTCTAAATTTGTATAAACCAATTGATTTGACATCATAACACACAAAGTGAATATGTAGTGTACTATAGATCAAACTCCAAAAAGAAAGCTACAAGTGTGAGTACATATATAATATATAATCTTGAAGTGAGATGTATATGAAGCGCAACCCACAAAGTTCATCATATACCAAACGAAATCAATGCTATTGGTTTCTAGTGTTCCTCAAAATAACAATAACATTATTGTATGTTATTGCCATTGAAGTAACTTATTGTGCGGAGCAAAATATAAGCCCTGTTTTTTCTGCCCACCAAAAACAGCTAAGCTGTGGTGTTGTGTTCATTTTATCTTCCAAAACCGTTGATGAGCCGTGATGGAAAACGACATTAAGTGAAAAACGACAATTATAAGAAAACGACAGCAACGTAGAAACGACTGACGACATTAACGTGAGCGACACACTCGTGATGTCTAGTACAGAGCTTCCAAGACGGACGTGATTATAGGACTAACGACAATAAGAGTCTTTGAAACTTGAAAGAAGAGATGCCAATATAAAATAAAAGGATATCAACATAGAAGACGACATGTGTACCTACAAGAAGACATCAAACTGAAAACGACAAAGTCTCAAAAAATAAGAAAACGGTTATTAATTAAAAACAATAAAAACAGATAAACGACATTAATGATAGCCACATCAATATTGAAAGTCCATAATACCGAAATCGACAATTATTTCAAACACGACAATAACGTGCGAAACCGAGATAATCCAGGAAAAAGGGCACTAACAACAAAGACAACCGACTCAAAACGACATCAACGTGCTTATTTAATTTTCTAATGTAAAAAAAAAAAAAAAAAAACGTTATTCTTCAACCCTAGAATTACTCGTTATAAATACCTAAGAGAAAAGAATACGCTTGTTTATGCATATCTCATATATCAGAAATCAAGAATATTCATGATCCGCGTTCTTTATCAAGGTGTGTTATTTCTGATCCCTAGCACGTCAGATCATTTTTTATAGTTTGAACTTGCATAGTTTCTCATTTATTACCTTTATTCTTTTCATTTTCACGAAATATATTTATATATATATACACACACACATATATTATATAGGCAAAATCCTTGATGTTGCTGGATGATGGTTGCCCTCTAACTGTTTTCCTTGTCGATCATTTTTCCACCTATCAATCTAGGTTCTTTTTCTCCTCTGTCAAATTCAAATATCATATTTCGGAGTTTTAATTGGTTTTGTTTTCCATTAATAACAGAAAAAGCTCATCAGTTTTAGTGGGATGATTAATATGCGTGCGTGTTCATGTCCTCGCTGATCTCCAACATTTTTCTTCCTTTTATAGTTATGTTCTCCCTTGTTTCTGAATTTAGTAAACCATTTAATTAGTTTGCATGCATTTGTTTGATTTATACTTTTATTGTTGTTGTCTTTGCATTTTGTCATGACATGTCTCCTTACCTTTTGTACTTTTATTCTTGGGATAAAATCATTTTGATACATTGTATTATAGCGAACCATACTCTTGGTATCTCGTATTTTTTATAATATTAAAACAATATCTTAACATTTATAAAAATATCTTCACGGTACTCTGAAACTAATTTTTAGGACATGTAATATCTAAACTACCTTTCTTATCAATTAAATAAGAATCATTTTTTTTTAAATATGAAAATATTTAAAAGAAAATAACAAAATAAAAAAGTTTGTGATGTTTTTCCTGGAGCTATTAGTTTTTTATTAATTAAATAAAAAGGTACTAAAATCATTTTACATCTCAAAAATTAACTTTAGGATATCAAAAAGATGTTTTTAAAAATGTCGAAATAAAACTTTAATATTATTAAAAAGAAAGAGTACTAAGAACATGTTTCGCTACAACAGAAGATATCAAAATGATTTTATCCCCTTAAACTTTTAGGATACACACGCGCATACAAATGGTCGTGCACAAAAACCTCATACTACATTGCAACGATAAAATGATGAAAATGTTATCTAGTGAGTGCATATATATGTCAAATTAATCTATAAATTTTACTATGTAGCTCCGCATTCCTACCCTCAAATGTTATATTTTAGTTTTATGATGTAATTATGAAACTTATGTACCGTTCTCATACTATATATATTTGTACATAACATATGCGTGTGTGATTTATATTTTTTCTGCGGGTACTGCTTGATTCTATGATGAGATGGCCGATATCGATAATAATAAAAGAGTGAAATACAGAGAGTATCGTACACCACGTACCATCTTCCCCGGGACATACTAATACATGATCTTAAAAACAAAGCCAGGTACAAATGCAATGGCCAAACTTATTTTCGATTGTGGCCCATGTATAATATATAGCTCAGAAGTTATCCATCTTCAAAGAAGATGGAAATTATATGATGATTCTTGCGAGCAACATCTTTTCTTGTTCAATAGATTTACTCAAGAAGTTATCCATCTTCCCAATGGAAAAGATCAGTTTACATCCAATAACATTGACACTAACAAATACGTGTGTCCAGAACGTCGGCGTTTCACGATATATAGTGTGGCGATCAACGACGTCGTATGAGGCTACTAATATTATCACGATATATAGATCCAGTGATAATAGTAATAATATTGATCATAGGATAGAGAAAATTCTCCAAGTGGGGTGTAGCAGGGAAGAATCTATTGTGTTTTGGCGTATGAGGCTGTTGATAAAAGCAAAAATTGGACTGTGCTTGTGATCGACATTAAAAAAAAAAAAACATGGACTCGACCTAGGTCGAAATTCCAATTCCTTATCGCCCTCGGACTTGTACTAAAATTCTCAAATAGTTGAGTATAAGGAAAACATCATTTTGGTGCATGGTCACCCCAAATGGGGAATTTTGAGAATAGATATGTCCAAGAGTGCATGGGTTCCGTATGCTTTCACAACACGCTTATTACTCGTTACTACGTCGTTTCAATTTATTTGAAGCTTTTTTTTTTTTTTTTATGATGCTGATGCAGGCACTGGAAGGTCAACTTGGATTGAACGGCCACTAGTTACATAGTCAATTCTTCTAAGAAAAATTCATGATATTCAGTATCATGCATTCTCTATGTGATCTAGTGTTAGTGGGCAATCAATGTACGAGAATCTGAGTTAGTTTGTTACAAGTTTTGAATCTGTATTAGTCATTTTCATTTTTATTTTCTTTATTATTTCTTAGTTTCATTTGAATTAATAAGTCAAGTGTAGTACTCATTTTTCCATTATGATTGCTCTTCTATTCATGGGATTCGGGAACTAACTTAATCCTATATTTTTTGGGCAAAATATAGTTATATTGTTTGATCGTATTAGAATATCGTATTGTATATTAACAAATTAATATAATGTTTGGCATGACTATCGTATTATATAAACTAATCCAGTTATTTTTTTTTCTGCATTCGCTACAATTATGAAATTTATATTTCTTCATAAATCTGTCCATGAATAGTGTTGTCAAATGTGTTGTGCCGGCCCGGCACGGCACGCTTAACCCCAGGCCCATTACGGGCCTGGGCCGTGCTTGGCACGGCCCTACACAGTGCAGGGCCGTGCCTGGGCCGGGTCTGAGAAGAAAAACTCAGGCCCGGTCCAGGCCTTTGCCCCTAGTCCATAAGGGCCAGGGCCGGGCCTGGGCCCAGGCCCTTCACGAGCCGGCCCCGGCCCTTGTATTTTTTTTTAATTTAATTAAAAAAAATATATCATATGCCTCAAAAGATGTGATTTTATTGAATTGACGTAATAGGAGTACACATAAATGACCACCTCGTTAAAAACCTTGCTAAGTAAAACCCGTGGGGAGATCGGGACAAAACCTTAGCGAAGGAAAAAAGAGTGCAGTAGCTAGGAATAGCAAATTACAAAACTAAGTGCTTCTAGAAAATTCTATTATTTCTAAGTTAGAAAAATATTCTTGCATCGAATCATCTGTGTATTGTTGTTTTCGTCTTCTAGCATCTTCCCAGTCTTTAACGCACATTAGTCCCTCCAAGATATCTGGATGCATTCTGCTTCTCTTCTCGTCAAGCATTCAATTGCTTGTGCTAAAAGCTTGCTCCGATGTTACCGTTGACACTGGAGTTGTCAGAATGTCACGAGCTATTATGGACAGTGTTGGAAAACAATCGGTCTTGTTCTTCCACCACTGTAAGATGTCTAGTTTGTCATCATCGATTATAAATTTGCTTCAAAATATTTGACTAGTTCTGTAGACGCTTGTGTTGAGGATGATCCTTTAGACCCTGAACTGGTAGTTGACGACGAAGTTCCCTGTTCTTTTTTACCTGTGCTATATTTTGCTTCATACAAACTAAAAACTTTTTCTTACATTTTCTTAGCGTCAGTAATACTTAGTTGCATATCTATTTCTAAATTCTTTGCGGTAGAAATCATTAATGATTCAGTTCCATCTACTCTACACCTAGGATCTAAAATGGTTGCCAATGCATATAACATAGGACAACCTGACCAATAACTTTTAAATTTATTTTCCATTAAGTTAACTATATTTTCAAAAAGTTATGTATCTCTATAATAAGAAAATATTTCTGAAATATTAAATAGTTGATGTAAAGCTAAA